TGTGAAAAAGCATGCCTTGAAAAAACAAGCAAGCAATGTTCTGAAGCCTGGATACATATCTTGTTCTTGTGAATATAAGAAATCGTAAAAGTGTTATTTGACTGATCAGAAGCCACTCAGCAACAAGCTGTTCACCTACGCCAACCTATAGTCTAATATCTTCTACCGTTTATGAACATTCCGGCAGATGAACTAGTTTAACTACTAAATTATAAAATAACACTTGTCTAGCTCAGCATATATGCGTAAGTAAGCAGGCCGCACTCACCTCAATTTAAGACGTTCACTTGGAAGTATTAATGCGCCTTTCGGGATTATTTCTCTCCCATCTGATTTTCAAATCGGGCAAGCAAGTGTGCATCGTTATTCGGTGTTAACATATCTCAACTTGTTCAATTTTACAAAAATAGACAATAAATTTAATTGGTCTTAGTTGCCTTAAAGTTTCGCTAAGAATAAATAAAAAAGTTAACAACGTCGGAGGCATTAAGTACGATAAATTTTATACTAAATTGACATTGTTGACAATGTGTTTACTCTAATACTCTAACACCTTTATATCCGCCTCATTTGGTAATTTTTCCCAATTGCGTTGAGAAGAAACTTTAAACTTCTTCCAATGCAAACAGTTCACCCTTATCTTCTTCATGTTTACTATATACTTTTTATATATTTTTTACGCATCTTAAGAATATGAATTTGTTTCCGTTTTTTGATGAGCTTAAGAAGACCGCTATTATTATGATGAAGTCGCCTTTTAAAGCCGCATTGATATATCTTTCTTTACTTGTTTCGCTTTGCTGCATGTTTCACTTTCGTAGTGTATTGTGGTGCGTGGCCCATTAAGATGCTTTTACTTGTTTATAGAATAAGTTTATTAGAGAAGTTTTGCATAATTCTTCTTATATTTACAAGAGAATATTGCAATGAAATGAATTCACATTAATGTTATATAATATTTACCTGTTTGACTTAAGAAAAGAAAACATTTGTAACGTATTTATGATTTAACAATAAAAAAGAGTTCTTTTGTTTTATTTATTTAACTTGAATTTTATTAAAAGCACATTAATAATTAAAATATAATGAAAAAAAAAATTGTAAATTATTATTTTATTTTTTTTTCCAACATTTAAATAATAAATTTATTTATACTTATTATTTTTTTCAATGATTAACAAAACAAATTCAATATATTTAATCGGGAAGAAAAAAAACGATAGAAACACTGCAGGTATAGATAGATAGATAGTCTGCATGTTCATTTTAATTGCAATAATAATAATAATAATGAATGATAAAAGTAGCGGAAGGAAAAAGAAAAAAAAAAAAAAATAAGAGAAAATTAAGAAAGAAAGAAAAAAAACACAATCACAATCATCTACACTGAGAAAAATAATTTGTAAAACAACAAAACATTCTTACATAAGTTTCTCTTGCATTAAGTGTTAACGATATAAACAAAAATTTTCATTTATTATTATTATTATTCTTCTTTTTTTTTTTTTTTTTTTGGCATAATATCATTAAATCTTATCGATTTATTATTATTATTATTAACTATTTATCATTTTAACAATATTAATGACTTATTTGCTTAACAATCAAATACTTCTCTATTTAAATAAAGAGCAAGCATAACAATGACAAACGAAGAAGCAGAGCTAGCAAAGATCGTTTAATAAATCAAAAAACGTATATCTCTCAAAGTTAAAATATCACTTATTTCGTATTAGACGACATATATGAAAATCACAATTTTTCCATCACGTATACATTTACTTTTGAATTTAGTAACATTCGTTAACGAAATCGTAAAAAAAGCTTTCGAAAAAAGCTTAATCTACGCACGCAATCAACTTCAATAATATAAGAGAAGTTATTAGTATTTCTCTTTAAACTAATTCAATATTAGTTACTTCACATGCTTTAATATTTAATTTTCAAAAAAGAAAAGCTTTGCTTACACGAACGAAACGAAATATTGAGAGAAAAGTGAGAGCAGAGAAAGAGAGAGAGAGAGAGAGAGCGAGAGATTTTATCTATTTATATAATCTTTAGTTGAAACGAATTTTGTTTTTGTTTTGTTTTCTTGATGGCATCGAATGAAAAAAAAAAAAAAAACTTTTCAAAATTAAACTTTTCGATAGCTCTGCTTGCAGAAGACAGAGGTTCTGTGTATAGAGTGTGAATAAGAGAGAAAAATAGAGAGAGAGCGAGAGAGAGAGAGATGAAAGGATTGGATTATGAAAGAAAATGAGTATACATATGCATACGTATATATAAACGACTCTTGTATATTTTAATTTTTTATTATAGTTGTAATTCAAAACGCTTCATGTGTGGATTTTTTAATGAGTTTGTGTAATCTAAGGTGGTCGTGATAGTAGTTATGATGCTGGTGTTGGTGTTATTAGTGCTGCTTGTGAAACTTGGAGTGTTAGTGTTGATGCTTAGCTCTACATCCCTTCCATCTAAGGGAGGGGGAGAACTTATGCGGGATCTTTTCGTCTTAGTGCATACATCGACGGCAAATGTTTTGCAGTTGTTCTCGTTGTTATTGTTGTTGTGCAAATGTGCTGATAAATTAGATTGAATGTTGCTGCTACTTTCGTTGTTGTTGTTTTTGAAAAATTCCGTTTCCTTTAACAATTGCCTGTCATTGCTGTTGTTATTGCTCTTCTCTGAAATGTTATTGTTATGATGATGTTTTTCATGTTGTTGTTGCTGGGGCTGCTGTTTATTATCAATATCGTCGTCGACATTTTCGTTATGACCTTTGATTGGGGCATTTATAGCGGTTTTTCGTAAAATTTCTGTAAAACTATTTAAATTAATGGCTGAGCGTTCAGCAATCTTTAAATTTCTGCTTGTTTTCATTACTATTGGATTTCTATCGTTTAATAATTGGTTAATTGACAAATCTGTGTTGTTGTTGTTGTTGTTGTTTGATTTTATTACCGGCAGTTTGACCATTACATCTCCCGATAATTGCGCTTTTGGCTGTTGTTCATAAATATTAATGATTGTGTTGTTGTTTTTCACCTTATTTTTCTCTGTGTTGTTGTGATTATTGTTACTGTTACTCTTATAATTATTAACATAAAATAAATTATTATTATTATTATTATTATTACGATTATTTTTGTTAAAATTAATTAAATTAGTATTCTTTGGTAAATCCACTGGTTTTGTTGTTGTTATTAAAGAAGTTACATTTGTTGTTGTATGGGAGGAGCTTAGGGTAATTGCTGATGATGATGGGATAAATTTTGTTATTTCCGCTGTTCCTCGTAATGATTCTATTTCATTTAAACATTTTTCTTCTGATAATTCATTCATTTTCATATAATATTTTCTTTCAACAGTTGTTAGTGTTTTATCTCTTTTCTCATCATTGTCTGTCGTTGTTGTTACTGATTTTTGTGCTGCTTCTTCCAATCTTCTTTTACTATGCTTGTTATTGTTATTACACGCGTTCATTATTTCGGTATTATTTGTATTTTTCTCTTCATTAAAACTTTTAACAGATATTTTTAAATTTCTGCCAAAGGTTACAAAACGTTGTTCTGTTGTTTCTGGTGTTGGCGTTGTTGTTGTTGTTGTTGTTGTTCTTGTTGCGGTAGTAGATGAATTTAAACCTGCAAATTATTGAAGATGGACAAAAGAGACAGACAAATAAACTCCGATTTATTAGTGAAACGTTAAGACACAAAGTCAATAGCAAATAATGTTTTTGTTTTTAGTGTTTACAAGAGAGAGAGAGAGAGAGAGAGAGAGAGAGAGAGAGAGAGAGAGAGAGAGAGAAAGAAAGAGAGATAGTGCATAGGGAGTATGAGTACGTGATGGATGATATTTTCAGAATAAGTTTAAGTGCATTTAGATAGATAGGCTGTGCGATAGATAATGAATAATGAAAACACAAAATATATAGTTTCTTAATAAGATATTTAGACGTTGCTTACGTAATTTTAATCATCAAATTCTTTTTAGCGGTTTTGAGTTATGCGACAATTCTTTTTGTTAGTTTACATTTTCGGAAACGTCAATGTTGAAAGTATTTCGTTATTAACGATCTCCGTTGTAAAATTTTATTTTACATCGTGAGGAAGCAGAACGCCTCCGCTAGAAACTATTTTTATTTAATTCTTTCACTGATGTCAATGCAAGAAAATGATGATATGAAAGTTGACAAAGTGCTACAGGTGGACCATTAAGTAAACGTTCGTTACGTCACTGAGAGCCTAATCAGATAGCTGATCACACATTTATTTTTATTAACTATTAACTAAGCATAGTTTCTTTCATTTCTTTTGCTCTATGCGCTACGACTTTTTGTCGCAATGTTTTATAACCGTGCATGTATGCTTAAATTGTTGTAAGAACCATTTAATATTCTTTCACGGCGGGTGCCGTCTACTTACAGCAGTCACTTCTAGCGTCACAGCGGCTAACACCTTCTGCATATAGTAGCCTCTGATTACTTTACAGCGCCCATGTATGTTACGGTATAATACTGATACGCCGTCACGAAAAGGTTAAAAGTCAATTTTATTTCAATCACCTAATGTTAAACGCGCATCGACATCAAGCATAATTTAAGCCATTCCTACAGGACTGGATACAGATACTAAGCATGCATGTGGCAAGTTCTATGAACTTGCTGAAATCTGTTCGAAGTATAAGAGTGATCGAGAAATTTTTCTAATCTTTCGTATATTCTAGTTATTTCACGTTTCATTTAATCCATTTGTAAGTCTTTCGCAATATCTTATATTGAAAAACCTGACATAAACATTACAAATAACTTTAGAACTTACGGATCGGTTGACGATTTTCGTTATTGGGTTAGCTCAGGTTATTCGTTCGATATTCAATAGTCTTAAAAAAGCAAAACAGATGGACAGACAAGTTTAGAATATCACTTTCTATATGTGCATGTATGTCAAGTCCTGTCAAGTCAATCCCTTCGGGGTGTGACGTACATCTTCACCAACTTAATATACACTAGCACCACAACTGCTGTAGGGTGCGATATGATGGTTTATATGAAATTTTACATTCGTTATTTGGTACATCTTCGAATACCGTCATCTTACTAGTAGTTAAAAGCCTGATAACTGGATCCAAAAACCGACCCCAAATTCAAACTTTGGCTACGTGCAGTAGATTTTTTTAAAGAAGGCAGAAATAAGCAGAAAAATTAGAAATAAGAAAAGCTAGCACGTATTCAACCTTAATTCAAACTAGATAGGAAAATAGGTCTAGATTTAAAAGAAAATGAATTTGTTGTTTATTGGCTTGATAAACGCTTTCAACCTTCGAGAGTATGTGGATAAAATTGATCACTTGACAATACTTTTTTCCAAGTGTTTTAGAAAGACTTACGTCAAATGAACCTCTGTTAAGTCACTAACTGATGCCTGATGAGAGAGTATTTATATCCATTTAAAAGCATTTCGTCGATACCTACTTCGCAACTCGATGTTATTATTCAACCCAGTCACATCTATATACGTTTTAAAAGATTTCTCATGCGTTTCGTTAAGCATTGCAAACATTCAACAAATCTCCGTATAACGCACAGAAAAAGAACTTGTCTGTCTGAAGGTACAGTGAATATTGTAAGCTAGTATAATGTGGATGCAATTTAAAAAAAAAATTTTAGGTGTACTTCGACTTATATGCCCAGATATCGTTTAATTTTAGCATTTCAACGCTATTCTTGATTTTATGCAACAGCCTCGAAGGATGTTCGGAATATTTTAGAATGCTTTAGAGAAAATAGTAGTGAAGAAGCAAATGGAGTATAGTTTAGTGAAGTGAACAGTGAAGAGAGACGGCACAATAAAGCAACAGATAAACAGGACAGAGAGTGAACAAGTAGAAGAAGCATATAAAGAAAACCATACGACACACATATGCATGTTTGCGCAAATAAACAAAATTCAGTTGCTTATGATGATCTTTTGTTTCTTGTTGCTTGTTTTAGTAATAGTAGCATTTGTTGTTGTTGATGTTGTTGTTGTAATTATGAAATTGTATTCATTTTTATTATAATCTCTTGTCGTGTTGCTGTTCTTTTTTTTTCAAATTTTTTTTTCTTTTTTTTATTTAATGTTACCTTCAGTGTTTAACATGCAATTGTGATAGTTAAACAAATTGGTTTGTTTGTAACAGGGCTCATACGTATACTGGCAATTGTCCAAATTATCATCAATGGCGCAACTACTTAAAGATGTAACGTCATTGACGACGGCATCGTCATTATCAGTTTTATTATTATGTTGAGCGCATTGATGACGACAGTGATCATCATCATTGCGATCATTAACAGCATCATTATTTTTATTAAAAATATCGTTGTCTGGCATGCTATTGCTGGCCTCGTTATATATACAGATACCAAAGTTGTTACAGTTAATGCTGGTGGTGGTTGTAGTAATGGTGTTGCTACTGCTGCTGCTACTTGTAAATGTGTTCATGCAGCATGAACTACCTGTTGTTGCCAGTGTTGCTATTGTATGACTTGATGATGGTTTTTCTACAGCTGATTTAGCTGCAATACCCAGGGGATCGTTTATAGCTGTACACGTAGTAATTGGCGTTTTTTTCATTGTAGTAAGAGTTGTATTTAGTTTTGTAGGAATTTTAACATCATTTCGATCATTTGCGTTACAAGTTCTATTGAGAGGACTTGAAGGAGCAACACCGCTACGCAAAGATGATGACTGTTGATGGCATTGAGATTGATGTTGTTGTTGTTGTTGTTGTTGTTGTTGCTGCGGTAATTTTACGTATTCATGTTTTACGTCTTGTTCACATCGTTTCTTTAGTTTCTCAACGTCATCAGTTTCATTATCATTATCATTATTGTTATCGTCATTATTATCATCATCATCATCATCATCATCATCATCATCACCATCATCATCATCATGGCCACAATTGCTGGGTTGGTTATTATTATCAACATCATTGTTAAAAGCAATTCTTGCAATCTTACTACTTTGTTGTAATTTTGTTGCACAATTTTCAAATTGTTTGGTTACTGTTGTTATCGTAGTTGTTGTTGTTGTCTTAATGGGATTATTAGGAGGGCCTTTTAAAATGTCCGTGTACTTTAAAGCATGCACATGCTTGCTTAGCTACAGTTTTAGATATATGTATTTTTTTTTTTTTCGATTTCATATAAATTACATGAAATATTAATAATTTAAAATTAGTAAAGTATATATATATATAAATGTTTTTGTATATATTTATATATATGCAGTTACATATATACATATATATACATAAACAACTTAAGTATACACTTGTACAGCCTTGAAGAGCTCTTAATAATAAACATGTACTGCGCTCTTTACAAATATTTAACAGCTGGCAGTTATGTCAACCGGAAGGGCCAAAATGAAGACCAAACATTGCTAGATTTTGTTTGCTTTACGACTTCAGAAATTATTTAGTAGCCTACTAGCACTCAAACGACAAGAAGTAAATTGTGTTAAAAGCATGGAAAGCCATGGCAAGCGCTCAAACAACAACAAGGAGAAGCGTTTGAGGATGAAACGATGGGAAAAGGTTTAAATGTTTAATACTTTCGTTCAAGGCTGCATACATATACATATTATATGATGATGAAAGATTTTTGTTTTAAAACGACTATATGTTTAAAGTTTAATTTGGAAAGTAGAAGCTACTGGCTCGGATAGAAGTGTTCGGTGTAAATTTATACATAGTTAATTGTTTGTGCAAATATTAGGCTGTTTAGTTAACTAGAGGATAAAATTTAATTTCAAAGTGATGTACAATACAAACCTCACTGTCTTGGGCAGAAACTTCATCGCCATCGGTTTTAGCAGAACTAAGACCTTGAAGAAACTGCACATCATTGGAGGGATTTTCGCTCGCCAAATGAGCACGGAATTGTTTATTTCTTCAAGTAGACAAAACAAGGAAAAAAAGCGAAATACTTTTAATACTCGGACTATCAAACTTTTCTTCGAGGAATGTGGCTTAGTATATACGCAATGTACAATTTATAATTGATCACTCAATAAGATCGTAGGATGGTATGCGAATGTAGAAAGAACCTAGGCGTATTCATACAGTGTTCGAATTTCCATGTTTCCATTGTTTCCATTGTTGTAGAACCGCCTTAACCTGTAAACACGTGATCAGAACGTCATGAAATTTTGCGTTTGATCGTCGCTACTGTCTAAAATTGATCAATAGTGGCAATATCTATAAATCATCCTACGTCCTTATTGAGTGATGTATTATATTCTTAGCCAGCTTCGAACGCTATCTACCTGTCGTATTCAGACAGAATTTTTACGCTAGCAGATTTCGGGACAGAACATTTAGATTCCTTCGTCACTGTCCTAAGTTAAGTCTAAGAATTAATTGCGATATCTAGTCTTCGTTAATGCTACTATCCTACCAGCCTTAGTGAAGATAGATTTGAAGAAACCTTTGTTCAAGATTCTTTTCTAGACGAATAAAGCTTTATCAGGTTTGTGTATTTGTTACACAAACATTTACCATTTACTTTTTTTAATAAAATCAATTACTTAAGAGGACGAAGAGATAAGGAGTCGCCCCAATCTAGTGGATGTGTTCCCAATCGGGAAATGTTATGCCTGCGTCCAGTGTGCACTAACTATAGCTACGAGCAAGTGTAGTCTAAAATTCGGTCTGAGGTAGAAAAAAGTGGAAATTATATACTGAAGAATTTTGGTATTTTGATTTCGGTACCTGGAAGATGATAGCGAAGCAAAAAGTCGCACTTCCGGCTTTTTTACATATGCGGCCCTGTAGGGAATTATTTCAGCTTGTTCGGTGGGTTTTCGGGGTTAACCTCACCTCAACCAAGTCGAAGAAAAAAAAATTTATTTCTCCTTTGCTAATTGTCATCGAATCTATAAACCAGTTTAACCAACTTGCAAGCTTGGCTTGAGTGCAACAAAAGAAAAAACAAGACCAAACTTGTCTCACTAAATAAACTTTGGAGATCGTAGTCAGGATTTCAACAGACACGTCACATCACACACAGGCAATTGTGTGGATAAGCATTTGACAAATCAGATACTCCCCTTATGGTGAATATAATCTGCAAGTAGTGTGTTTGCGCGCGTGTGTGTGTGTGTGTATGTTAATACTAACATATTTGGTTTAACATTTATTTTGTTGCTTATTTTGCGTATTTTTTGAGAATACGAAATCATGTATATTCAGCGATACGTCGGTACGTCGGTAATTATCCCAACTTAACCCTACGTAATGTATGTGTGAATTCCTTTATTATTTTCATATGTACACTTATGTGCACCTATTGCGTCTAAATGTAAACAGTAAACCTGTAATTACCTTACCTTAATTCCAATTGCTGCATTTGCTGAAAATGTTTCAGCTTTTGATTGGCAACCCGTAATTTCTCTTCCAGAGCAGCATTTTCAACACACTTAATAGAATACTTTTCAGAGAATGATAGAATTTCTTGACGCAATTCTTCAAGTTCTTCTCTGTAATTATAGTGTTGTAAGGTTAAGAAGTGTACATATGTAAAAGATAACATAAAACATAAACAAAAACAAGAAATAATATGTTTACATGTTTATATGTTATGTATGTATGAAATAAGAGTTAAAGAAGGAACAAACATGTATATACACATACATGTATATATACATACAAAGAGTTTTATATATAAAATACTCAGCTCAATGTTGTGAACACCGAGGAGTCATATAAACATGTATTGAATGGCGTGCGTATACGCTTGTTTATTTCATACGTACTCCTTCGCTTTGGCCGTGTCTGGCGTACGTTCGCCTTTCGATTGGAATTGTTTAAGGAATTCCTGTTTAAAGCGTGCAACTTCACGTTGCACCTCACTTTGGTGTGCTTTACGCATCGCATCCAGAGCAGCTAATGTTGCCTAGTAATGATGAGAGAAGACGACACAACAGAAAATGAAGGTGGTACAAAAACAAAAAAAAAAAAAAACATAAAACAACAACTTTGCTTGCTTTTCCCATTTGCAAGCTGCTCGCCTCGACTTACCTGAGTTTCCTCAGCTAAAGCTTGTTCTTTCTCAGTCAGTAAACGTTCAATTTCTTGTTTATGTTTCCCTTCCAAGTCGCTAATTGTGCGTCTGTGTGATGATTCCATAGCTGAGAGTCCCTTCTCGCACAGCGTCTATAACAAATAACGACAATTTGAGGATTTCTCTATCATATGCCATATATGTCACAGTATACTTACTCTTAGTTGATCAATTTCTGTTTGATATCGTTGATGAAAGCTGTCTTCGTCAATGGCATTTGAAAAATCGGAGCAATGAGCTAACATTTGGTCACGATACGCTTGTTGTAAACATTCCATTTCTTTGCTGTGTTCCCTTTCCAACAATTCTAAACGTTTTTCAAAACGTCTGCTGCGCTCTTGCTCCTTAGCTAATTCATTTTGCAAGTAATCACGCTCTTGCAGCAATATAACATACTCATCATCTTGACGGGCACATTTCAGGTTAAGTGCATCGTTTTCCTCCCGATATATGCGAACTTTTTCCTCTTTCTCTCGTAGACGTTGTAGGAGACAGTTATGTTCACTTTGGTGTGCATGTAGTTGCTGCTCGGTGTCATGTAAATTTTGCTTCATAAGCGTCAGTTCGCGTTCACGCTTTTCTATCAGTTCTTCGCTTTTGTGCAAATCACCATTGATTGCATTCTTTTCGGTCTCCAAACACCTTAGTGATGTAAGTTGATGTTCGACTTGTTGCATTAAGGCACTTACGTCTTTGGCATGCGATTGTTGCAAGCGCAAAATTTCACTTTGATGTTGTTCTTGCAAGCTGTGCAATTTTTCGCGAATCTGCATACAATGCTGACATGTGGCATTCAGCTTGCGATGAACTTCTTGCAATAGTTGATCAGCCCGTTTACGCAGTTCGCAGCATTTATGGCAGACGTCCTGTAAACTTTCTATGGAGATTTCAGTACGTGGTATTTGTTCATCATTTCCGGAGGTGGCTTCGCATTGCAAAGCGATAAGTGAATCTTCCAATTGACTTAAAAAAGTCGAGATATCACATAAGACTTGACGGTCATTGAAAAAATCGACTGTTCTTTGTTTATAAGTAAATTCGAAGTCAGCCTCCATTAGAATATCATCGGGATTGTCGATTTGCAAGTCTGTTGACAATTCTTCGAACAGATCTTCGTATTTCTGCAGAGCAGTTATACCAAGCTTGTGACCTTGGCTTTCATTGTTTTCCATTTTACTGGTATTTTGGTTGGCATAGTCTCCTTTTAGGACATCAACTCTGGCATCCACCAATGCCTTGTGTGCTACAACATCAGCAAATTCCGACAGTAATTGTCGACCTTCAGATGTTTTACGCTCCTGTTGCAGATGTAAACGCCATTGACCTCGTTTCATTTGTTGCACAGCATCTTCGTAGCATTGGCTTAGTTGCGTCACTGCCAATTCCATTTCTCTACGCAAAACATCGTGGACTGCATCTGCGAATTTTTCAAATGATAAACGCTCCTCTGACGTTAAGGTGTAACCGAAGGAAGGTATAAGTGAACTCTCTAGTCGTTCGGCATTTCTCATCATTATATGCGCAATTTCAGATTGTACCAGTTCAGCGTTTACCGTCTCCTGAGCTTGACGCCAAGCTTCCTGCACCGTCCCTTGAACCAAGTCATTGGTAGATATGTAGCTAAGGGTCTCTGCCGCTAGATTTGTAGCTAAATTTTCCATAGCATTATTCCTATAACGTTTAGCTATAACGTTGATTTCATTTTGTTGACGTAACAAATCATCTAAAATATTTTGGTCTACCGGTTCCATGCTCAATTTTACATCCTGTGCGCTGTGTCCAGTTTGCGTTTTATGGAAAGTCGATAGCATCAGTCTCCTGGCTAATACTCCCGCCAAAATATCTAAGCTTCCGCTTGTTTTGATAGTACATTTACCCTGCAGTTTTGACTTAAGCATGGACATAAGATGCGAAGTTTCAGCCACTTCGGCTCTAGTTTGCCGTTCAGTGAAAAGTTCGGGATTTTCAGCTCTTTGCATTGAGTCCCTTAATTTACCGAAGCAGACACTCTCAAAAGCTATACGTTCAGCTAGGAGTTCCAAATCCTTTCGTTTTGTTAGTTCATTGCGTTCTCGTAAGATACGTCTCTGCTTTAATAGATCGGCTAATTTAGAACGTAATTGCGTTTCTAATTGCGTCAAGGCTAGTTTAACAGGACTAGAATCAGGTAACATGAAGGCATTTGGCAACATTTCACATTTCTCGCCACTAATTACACAAGTTTCGGTAGTATCTCGTATTAACTTGACTACCTCGTGCAGACAACGCTCTACAAAACGATATGAATCTTTCCTTTCGGTAATAGGGGATACTGAGCGCCGCGTACGAGCGCAACGTAAGTTTTGTAGTTGAACTAAACTTTGTTCTAAACTATCTTTACTTGCAACCAAAACAGATTCCAAGCATTTGAGTCGATCCATTAAATGTTCCGACAGGCGAACGTGGCCGGAAACTCCGGAACTACGACTAGTCGTATCTAATGTAGGCGTACAGGAAATCGGCGTTGTGGTGGTTGAAGAACTGCGTGAACTACTTATGCCGTCGCAACGTTTCTCCAAATCATTCACTCTAACCAAAATTTGCATGGATTCCGGGGAAGCTAACGGCGTACTGTTTACATTCGACTCTAAAGAGCGTCTACGAGAAGTCTTTTTACTTGGATGACGAGAATTTGAGCTTTTATCAAAGCTCATTTGTTTGTTGTCCGCCGGGTGACTCTTTTCCAATTCATCAATTTTGTTCTCTAATTCTCCAAGTTTTACTTCCAGCTCCTTGCTCACTGTCAGTTGCTCTTTACCTTTAAGGGACAGAGAACGTCGACGTTCAGACTTTGAAAGTTTTTGCTTTAGACTTCTTACTTGACGCTCGGACGAACTATATTTTAAGGTGAGATCTTGTATTCGGGCAGCCATCATGTGTAACTGAGCTTGGTCTTCCAGACCTTTTCGTTCCAAATCCTGCTTGAGGGAAGCGTAAGAAATTTCCAAGGAATCATATTGATTTTGTGATTCTTTGAGCTCTTTCTTCATGGCACGTATTTCATTTACAGCTTTTTCAAATCTTCCTTTTAATTCGTTATATTCCTCGGCTAGATTATCTCTTTGAAGACCGTAAGGATCGATGTCTTTAATTTGTGTCAGATCACTAAGGGAATCCATGCGTTTCATTTTAGTTCTCTGCAAATTGATAAAGCTGGCGGGACTGCAAGTTTCCATCTCTCTTAAACGTTTATAGAGGTTTTCGTTTTCCTCTATTCCTCGAGACAAACGGTCATCCAGATCTTTGATTTTCTTTTGACCTTCTTCTAATTCATCAGTTAGTCGTGCTATGATTTCACCAGCACTGCGTTTGGCTTCATCTAGCTGATTATTCAAGTTTTCGCGAACTTCCTCCATTTCGTGAATTCGATTGTTTAATTCCTGTTCGGTTCGCTCCAAGGTATTCAGCAGTTCGGACATACGGGTTTCACGTTCTTTCGCCTCATTTCTTAACAAATCACGCTCCTTTTCTACCACATTCAAACGAAACTGCAGTTCCTTGTCGAGATTAAGGTGAATTTCTTCCTGAACCGTTGATATCGGAGGTAATTCATCTGAACCGACACTGTCCATAGTACTATGGCGCGATGTTGGAGGTGAGGAACGACTACGTTTATGCATACGATGGCAAGGAGTTGTGGACCGTGTACGCATTCGATCCTTTGTTCTCTGTGCCAAAGAAGACGGTAAAGGCGGAGAAGGTGATTGAGGCGAGCCCCAATCGCCTATGCTATCACGTCGCCCTCCCTCCGAAGCTGTTCGGTATTCTTCATCCGATGAAAAATGCACGTTGTTCCTCGAAGTTAATGGAGGGTTGGGGCTTGGTAACGAACACTTCGGATTGTTTCCAATTACATTGGTAATGATTAATTGCGGGCTAACATCAGCGGTTATTTTTTTTGCATTGTTAGTGGAAGTGAGAGGGGATTCGGTATAATTTTGCATAACGCATTGAGCCTTCATGAAATCTTTTTCAATTTCACTTTTTATATCGTTGTTATTGCTATTATCTTTGATAATGAGCTTTGTGGTAGGCAATGCTTTGCTGCTGTTATTATTTTCCATTGCAGCGGTGGAATGATGCATTGTTAGACTATTACCATTGTTGTTGCTTTTAATGTTATTGTTGCTAGTGTTATTGCCAGTGTTTATCGTGTTTTGCAAACCTGCAGCGTTTGTAAGAATTGCTATCCAGCTATTACGTGAGTTAGGTGAAAGACTGGCTAAAGTTAGGCGCCGTTTATCCCACGAGGTAAGCTGAAAAGCGTAGCTACGGTTTGCATTAACTTCGGCCACATTAGTGAGACTATTCACATCGAGCACACCATCCAATACGCCACGTTCTTCGGAAACTGGATCACGATAATAGAATAAAGCAGCACCACTTAATGTGAACCAATGCTTGGTCCAATCGCCAGTGCGATTATCTTGTTTCATTAGCCAACCTTTTTTGGCATTAAGAGACTCATCAACCGGCAATGATTTTGCTGCGGTATTGGGTGGTGGCGGATTCACACGCAATTCCACTGTTTTAGCCAGATAGTTAGAAGAGAGATCATCTAAATTGCAGCCACCATCTGGATCGCCACGTTCTAAAGCTTGTTTCTGGTGTCGACTAAGTTGATTTTGCTGTTGGTGCTGCTGCTGCTGCTGCTGCTGCTGCTGATTGCTTTGGCGTTGTTGATGTTGAAAATGTTTCAATTGTTGTAAACGAGGACTAGATTTGCTTCTGTTGTTGTTATTGGTGTTATTATTAGTGCTATTATTAGTGTTGGTGTTGGCAATACCATTAGATGCTGTTACTAGAACGGGTGGTATTTTCTTGACTATTGCCGAGACTATGGCGGGTGTCGAATTGGCTGCCAATGGCAATGACTTTGGTCTTAAGGCTGTTGTTGTAGAATTTTTACTTGTCGGTCTACAATAATAATCCGTTTCATCCCGTGATTTGTTTTCTTCATGCTGTGGTTGCTGTTGATGCTGCTGCTGCTGCTGTTGTTGTTGTTGTTGTTGTTGCGTTGTACCCGTCGATTTTGTGTGATGATGTAAATGACTATTGAGAACATTATTTACTGCCGTCGTAGTCCAACGTGTCTTCTGCTGTTGACTTAGATTCGTTATTGTATTGGCGAGATCTTTAATCGTTTTCTCATCTCGCCGAATATCCTCAATAAGAAGGCAAGGTGGTGAAACTGAAAAGACGAACATAATTACAATTGCCATAAACTTTTAATTTGTTAATAAACCAAAATTAATTTATAAAAAATTCAGCATTTATGTAAAGAATTAAAATACTAAACGAAAAAATATTGAATTATACGAAGATTTGGTGGAATACGTAGTGGCAACAATGCGGGGGACAAGCGTTAATAAGTTGCTTTAATTTTTGAAATTTGTATAGCATTGCTTAGTTATATGGTTTTTAAGGCTTAAAGTTAAAATACTTCAGTTAGCGAATTGGGCAGCGATTGAATTTCAAGAAGGTTGTAGAAAATTAATTGGTTTGCCTTGGATCTCGATAGATTTTAGTTAATGCGGATATAAAATAATTACAGTTCAAGGTTTAAGTGTAAGTGATGAATACAAAAGTGCTTAAATGCATATCACCTTCAAAACAGACTCCATCATTTAACTCCTTGTTAAATTTTCATCAAAATCGAAATTCTTCCGCGTTATTAAAACAAGAAGATTGTAGCAAATTTTTATAAATATTTAACCTTGAGTTTTGTTAAGTTCAACATACATGAATATTTACGTAATTAGTTGCCTAAGTGGCTGGCTGAGGTTGGATACCTTAACATTAAGGAGCAGTCTCAATAACGAAAACAAAAAAGTAAAAAAAAAATAATAACAATAAAAAAAAGAGAACAAAAAGAGAGAACAACAAAGAAATTATGAAATAACATAAACGTTGGTTGGTGTGCTCCAAGCAGAAACAACGGAATCCTCCGCATGTCTTCAACTTGTCTGCTTGGTAAACGAAACTGAAGAGAAATAAAAACAGAAGGAAAAAAAGCGCAAAGAAGCTCGATCAAGATAAAGATAATGTTCGCGCTCCTGCTATGAAAGACTCAGTAAACTTGTGCCGAGATGACTGACTGAAAAATAGTATCAAAGACTGGTCAACCTGCATATGCCCTTTATTAGACATACTTTAAGTGTGTTGATTGTTCTTTTCTTTTTATTGTATAAATAACATACATTGAGAGTAGAAAGATTATTTTATAGTTTTTTTTTCTTTTTTCTTTGCACAATCTCAGACAAGTTCATGTTTTGTATAAGAGTTTTCATTTTTTTAGTTCTTTTGTTTTTATGTTGTTTGGTTTAATTCACGCAAAAGGCTCATTTAGTTGAACTTTATTTATTGTTATGATACACTTGCAAAGCAACCCATATGAAAAAAGGAAAGAAAAGGTATGAATTTGTAGACTTTTCATAGTCTACATAGAATACACTGAGTGACTAAATAAAAAGCCTGTCGTTCGATTTTATTTTCCTCTTTTCATTTTAACAAAATCGATATTGTGAAGTAGAAGTGAAAGAATGACCTTAAGTTGAATCAGATTCATCCTATATTATTAATAATAATAAACTTGATTATAACTAAAGAACACACTTCACACACACACAGACAGCGGTGATACCTGTAAAGGTACGCACATTTCCAGCTTTGCCATAATTTCCATTTTAGTGAAGAAGGCATCTGTGTGCTGATATTTGATGAAAATTATCACCATTGTAATCGTAATGTTTGCGTAGAAAAATTTCTATAAACTGTGATACATCCAGAACGAAGAAGCGAAAGAAACAAAAAAAAAAAAAAAAAAAAAAAAAAAAGAAACGTTTTTATTATAATGATATAATTTTATTATATTATGCTTTGTGCGTGCCTGTGTTTTAAGCATTAAACTTGAATGCGTTTTACGTTACGGCCCATATTTGCACTTAAGTTGTGACTATAGACAAAAATAGCACGTCATTATAGTTTGCTTTGAGAACAACAATTTATAGATTTCGCCAGTGAGATATATTTGCCTTAATATTTGTATATTGAAAATTTTATTTAATGTTTCAGCGGACACCGGATTCGATGCGGACAACGTTCACAATATCGATAAAATTGAAAAAAAAAAATTAAAAAAAAACAACAAATTCAGAACGACTTCCATTTGCTTGAAAAGCATAACTTGTATGTGTAAATCGAGTTAATCTCAAGATTTTGTAGAATTGCAATGTCACGGCCCTTCGAAGTTAAAAATTATAAGAACTTATGAAGATCAAAATCGGCCCTCCACACTCATTTAAAGTGTTCATACGTTGACTTAAGTATATTGCAATAAGATTGACTAGTACTGTAGAGAACAGAAGACGGCCCAAATTTAGTAGAGCAACCATTTTTAAAGCCGCAAGTTCCACTTTGAATGAGAAAGAAGCCGATATAGCGAGGCCAACCGTCGAATCTTAGATAATGAAGGAACAGTCAATTCCCGTTCTTTCATTTTGTATGACCCATGAATATGGGCGATATGTAAGTTAAATTGAAGAAAAGAAAAATGATGTAAAAGAAGATCATTGAGTGAAAAGCGTGTAGACTTACGCCCATGTGGTGTTTAATTGTAATTACGGAGTTGTATTAGAACTTAACAACGAAATTACAAAGAGATTATTATGCTCAGATTGCTTGCTGTACGAAGACGGACGAATTGGGTATAGGAAACACACGGAAGAGTCGAATTATGGAGATAAAGAAACACGTAAATATATTATAGTGAGACACGGCCCACCGTTTAATATCCCATATATAATATCCCATAAGCTCTTATATTGGAGAAGTTGGAATAATTGATCCACCATTTTCAGTATTATTCCCCCTTTGCCCAAAACGTGTCGGTGTTCCAAATTTCGTCTTCTACGAGTGCCACGAAAATAATACAAGACTGATAGAAGGACGCAAAACCCCAAGTTCGATTCACAAACTGACTTCGTAGCGGTCAAAACGCTTGTAAAACGAGCCAGCTTCAGGCATGAACCCATGTTTCCTTTTCATGCTAGTTTCTAAGAAGGTCTTTGCCTCTTTAAACATATTTAATTTTATAGAAGATGTATATGCTATGCGTGTGCTCGTATTGTGGCAAATCTATATAATTGGATCATTGATATAATGAAGTTCAAGTAGACAATAAGAAGTAAATTTTAATTTCAGCGCAATCATGCGTCTGAACGGATAAATAAAGCGGAAGAAAAGTTTTTACACTATTTGTACACTGTCTTTATGTAAATTATCATAACGGATAATTTTTCCTTTTTAGCAAAGGTGATAATGCATTCACCCATCTCCCTTATTTACATTTTACTGCCTACAATGGCTATTTTCCGTCGTCGAATATTCTTATGGGGGTTGTGTACATTTAATAAGTGGCATCAACGCTAATGGACGTAGAAGTAAAACAAACAAATCGAGTTTCATGGTCGATATTGACCGAACTGAATGTAAAATAGAGCATTGTGGTTAAAAAAGTGTATGGGACGATTCCCAGGCAAGCTCAGGTGAGCTGAAAACATATATATTTCTGTCGTGAATACACCTTATATCGCGCCTGCTTTTCATCGTCTGTCATGGTTCAGTAGTATCTTGCTGCAAATTAAACAACACGAGTGACCATTTCTACTGCTGCCCTTTTTTTGCCCAAGATTTATTATTTTCGTCCGAATCGCAAATAATATGAACAAAGTTATAGGTGTAAGTTTTTGTCCACAAGATTTTCAAATTTAATCGGTATTTTCCCACAACCTTTTCCTGGCACTTTTTGCAAGATTGGATTCTTTTAAGTTTACGCATTGTATTATAAGAAATTTGATAATATTTTATTCAACGTTAAAGTTCCGCCATCATCGGTGCCGAAAACATTGCTAAACTCAAAAATGAAAAATTTTGTAGTTTGTAACAAAGTCTTAACCTTTTGACAATATTAATAACCAATTATAGCAAATCGTCTACTATTTTCTTTAAATGAATAACACATAAAAAATAAAAATTATTCTTTATACACAAAGCGTGCCTTGATAAAGAGTTCCGCAAACTTGCAAAAAAAAAAAAAAAAAAGAAAAGGGAAAAAAAAAAAAAAAAAAAAAAAAAAAAAAAAAAAAAAAAAAAAAAAGAATGAAAATAAAAATAATAATAAATACATATTCTTAAATAATCGTTTGCAAAGTATCGAGCGAACCGTGAGCTCGCTGATCTAACGACAGCGGTGTCAGTACAAGCAGCCCAATGGCTATGAAGAAATAACAACAAAGACAATGTATACGCCGGACTCTGACACTGACTAATTGCGTTTCATCAATAAGCAAAATGCCTTTTTAAAATAAATCTCAAGTAGGGTGAAACCTTTTGAATGCCTCACCACAGACATAATCAAGGAAGAGAATAAGAAGGCATCTAAAGCGATGACATCGACAACAAACACGCACGACAAACGGGAGGAGGGGGGGGAGATAACACAGATGTGTATGCAAGTACATGAAGTAGGTTTTAAAAAGTATTTCCCGACTAATAGCCGCAAGCGGAAAAAATACCAAAATGAAAAGTGTGTTGAAAGAGGTGTAGGTACCTGGGGTATATATTGGTGAGCAAGCGTCGCTTCTTGCTTCGCTTTTAACTGACAAACAGTCAAGCAGGCTGTCTACTGCTAAGAGTGGGCAATAACGCATTTCAAATTCAAAAACTCCTTTAAATCGGAGATGGGTTTGTTTGGCATGGCTTGCCTGGCAAAAACTTACAACAAAGTGTTTTCCGTGTGTCGTCGCTGAACCTGGTAAATATCTTAGCTGCTGGTGCTGCTGTAATGTAGAATAATATCAAGTAAAGCAACAATAACGACAAATGCAACTTGACATAGTTAACGACGTGTGGTGCCACGGAAGGTGGGTAAAGATATTCATACACACATGAAATCGCTCTAAATGAAAAAAAATAAAGAAGGTAACCACAATAACAAAAAAAAAAAAAAAAAAAAAGTAAAAATAAATAAATAAATAAAAATGAGAATAAGAACTGCCCACTCCGACTGTGTCGATAGCACTATAAGAATAATTGCGCACAATATAAATCTGTTTTCGTATCGCATAGAAAGACAGACACACACACCACACACACTCTCTTAGATGTCGTTATGTTACTTTAACGGCTACA